CTAAAGGATGGGAAACTATCCTGGGGAGGACTGGCAAATAGACTTTACCCACATGCCAAAGTTGAATAGCATCCAATACCACTCGACATGTGTATATATTTCCACTAACTGGGTAGAAGCATTTGTATGGCATAAAGAAAAGGCCTCTAAGGTAGAAATATCCCTTCAAAGTTAGGTCTGAGCCCTTTTGAGATTCTGTATGGATGGCCTTTTCTTACCAATGATTTCTTATCACACCAACAGACCTCTGAATTGGTTAAGCATGTAACCTCTCTGGCTCACTTTCAACAGGAATTAACTAGCCAAGCCTAACTCTAAGAAAATAGGACCACCTTTATTTAACCCAGGAGATTTTGTGTTGGTAAAACCTCTCCCTTCTTTCTCTCTCTTCCTAAGTGCAAGCTGGGAAGGACTTTACATCATCCTCCTTTCAACCCTCTCAGTGATAAAAGTCACCTGTATCAACTCCTGGATACATCACACTCAAGTCAAAGCCTGGGAAGCTGAGAGAGTAACCCCTGACAGCACCGAGGAATGTCCTGGATATTAATGTGAAGAAATATGAGATCTTAAGCTGAAAATCATAAAAAATAAGTAAATGAGTAAGGGCTACTCATCCTACTCAGTCTCACCTTTACCCTACCAGGTACATTCAGTCATTTCTACTTGTCCTCTCGAGATTCACCATCAAATATTGGAGCTTCTTCTCGATGCATACTTGCAAGGATTATAGTTACCAACAAGAAGTGAACATGAAGAATTTTATGATCACTGAGCCTGCTAGGACTTTTTACTGGATTTAGTGAAACATCACACCCTTTAGCTCCTACACTATCAGCCATGGCCCATTTAGACAACAAGACTAATTGCTGGGTCTATCCTGAGTGGTTTGTTCAGTTCAATAACACTAAGCAATGTCTGGATTACCTGGAACTTACCATCTTAGGATTCCCTTTGTTAGCTTTACCTTTGACCCTTAAAGACCTATCAGGCACAAATGGGACATGGTTTTTATATTAATCCATTTTCACACTGCTGATAAAGACATACCTGAGATTGGGAAACTTACAAAACAAAGAGGTTTATTGGACTTACAGTTCCATATGGCATTACAATCATGGCAGAAGGCAACGAGGAACAAGTCACATCTTACATGGATGGCAGCAGGCAAAGAGAGAGAAAAGAATTTGTGCAGGAAGACTCCCGTTTTTAAAACCATCAGATCTCATGAGACTTATATCACTGTCACAACAACAGCATGGGAAAGACCTGCCCTTGTCATTCAATTAACTCCTACCGGGTCCCTCCCACAACATGTGGGAATTCAAGATGAAATCTGGGTGGAGACACAGCTAAACCATATTAGTATGGAAGCACTTTCATCTGTGCAACTAACTCCTCCCAGGAAAACACTTCCCCCCGCCCCCTGGTGCCAGGAAACACTCTACCCCAAAGATAAACTTTACACCCTCAGGCTGGGAAAAGTTGACCAGGTAATAGGAAATGCCTTCCTCTGCTTTAAAAGCAGTAAGGAAGGACCATACATGGGAGATCTCAAATATTGTAGCATCACACTGTGATTTCTTTTTTCTTTTCTTTTTTTTTTTTTTTGAGATGGCATTTTGCTCTTGTTACCCAGGCTGGAGTGCAATGGCGCGATCTCAGCTCATCGCAACCTCCACCTCCTGGGTTCAGGTAATTCTCCTACCTCAGCCTCCTGAGTAGCTGGGATTACAGGCATGCGCCACCATGCCCAGCTGATTTTTTGTATTTTTAGTAGAGACGGGGTTTCATCATGTTGACCAGGATGGTCTCGATCTCTTGACCTCGTGATCCACCCACCTCGGCCTCCTAAAGTGCTGGGATTAAAGGCTTGTGCCACTGCACCCGGACATACTGTGATTGCTAATAGCTCAGAGACTTGGGGAAGAAAATGCAATAGGGGTAATCTAAAAGGATTAGAAGTCCTATGGGGGGACTTTCAAAATCTAGCCTCTCCTACTGATTGAAAGTCCTGAGTAGAATGGCATGCTCTAAGTAACACCTTGATACACAGTACTATGATGTAAAGAATAACGCATGGGCTTTCCAAACATGCCCCCACATGGAATTCCAGATCCCTGTTTCCTAAAAGCAGTGGCCTACAAATCTGTGGTTGAACAGGAGACATCTGGACTAACAGCCCTTGCTGCAAGGAGTATCTGAGATATTGGTCAGGGTATATTATGTCCTTAATTTTTTTGAAATTCCATTTGTCAGGTGGACCCCTCTCATTGAACAAAAATTATATAATTGTCTCAATAGAAAAGGTATTTGATAAGATTCAACTTTGCTTCCGATAAAAAATCTCAACAAATTAGGTATAAAAGGAATGTACCTCAAAACAATCAAAACCATGCATAACAAATCCACTGCTAACATTACATTCAATGTGTAAAAGTTGAAAGCCCTCTTAGATCTGGAACAAGACAGTGTTGACCATTTTCACCACTTTTATTCGACGTAGTATTGGAAGTCTTAGAGCAGTTAGACCAGAGAAATAAATAAAGGGCATACAAATTGGAAAGAAGGAAGTTAAATTGTCCCTGTTTGCAGACCACATAATCGTATATTTAGAAAACCCCAAAGGCTTCGGTGAAAAGCTGTCAGAACTGATTTTTAAAACTCAGTGTAGTTGCAGGATACAAAATCAACACATAAAAATCAGTAACATTTCTATACACCAATACCAAACAACCTGAAAAATAATCAAGAAAGCAATTTAATTTACAGTAGCTATAATAAAACCCTAGGAATAAATTTATCTGAAGAGGTGAAAGATCTTTACGATGAAAACTATAAAAATTGATGCAAGAAATTGGAGAAACACACACACACACACACACACACACACACACACACACACACACAATAGAAATATATTCCATGTTCATAGGTTAGAAGAATAAATGTTAAAATGTTCAGACTACCCAAAGCAGTCTACAAATTCAAGCAAACCTTATCAAAACACCAATAACATTCTTCTCAAAATAGAAAAAAGATCATAAAATGTGTATGGAAACAAAGAAGACCCAGAATAGCTAAAGCAATTCTAAGCAAAAAGAAAAAAGCTGAAGGCAATTTATTACCTGACTTCAAAATACACTACAAAGTTATAGTAAACAAAACAGTGTTATACTGGCATTAAAATAGTCACATACACCAATGGAACAGAATAGAGACCCCAAAAATAAATCCACATATTTACAGCCATCTGGATTTTTGACAAAGTCATTAAGAACATACAATGAGGAAGAAAAGTGTTTAAAATAAATGGTGCTGGAGAAACTGAATAACCACATGCAAAATAATGAAATTAGACCCTTATCTCTCACCATATACAAAACTCAGTTAAAAATGAATTAAAGACTGACATGTACAACCCAAAGTATGAGAATACTAGAAGAAAACATAGGGAATACGGTTCAGGGCACTGATGTAGCCAGAGGATTTTTGAATAAGACCTCAAATACACAGAGAACAAAAGCAAAAATAGACAAATGGGATTATATAGAACTAAAAACTTCTTCACAGCAAAGGAAGTAATCAAGTGAAGAGTCAACCTACAGAATGGGAGAAAATATTTGCGAAGTATCCTTCTGACAAGGGATTGCTATCCAGAATATACAAGATACTCAACCAACTCTATAGCAAAAAGAAATTAATAATCCAGTTTAAAAATAGGCAAAAGATCTAAATAGACACTTACCAGAAGAAGATATACAAATGGCAAACAGGTATATGAAAAGGTGCTCAACATCATTGGTATCAGAGAAATGCAAATCAAAACTAAAATGTAGTATTATCTCACTCTTGTTAAAATGGCTTTTACCCAAAAGACAAGTAGTAACAAATGCTAGTAAGGATGTGGAGAAAAGGGAACCCTTGCACACTGCTGGTGGGAATGTAATTAGTAAAACCACTATGGAAAACAGTTTTGAGATTCCTTAAAAAACTGAAAATAGAGCTACCTTATGATCCAGCAATCCTACTGCTAGGTATATACCCAAGAGAAAGGAAATTAGTATATCCAAGAGCTATCTGCACTCCCATGTTTATTGCAGCACTATTCACAATAACCAAGATTTGTAAGCAACCTAAGTGTCCATCAACAGACAAATACATAAAGAAAATATGGTATACATACACAATGGAGTAGTATTCAGTCATAAAAAGAACAAGATTCTGTTATTTGCACAACAAAAAGGATGGAACTGGAGGTCATGATGTTAAGTGAAATAAGCCATGCACAGAAGATAGACTTTAGATGTTCTTATTTGTGGAAGTTAGTAATTAAACCAATTGAACTCATGGAGTTAAAGAGTAGAATGATGGGGGCATGAAGGGGAAGTAGGGTTAGTTAATGAGTACAAAAATATGATTAGACAGAATGAATAAAATCTAGTATTTGATAGTACAACAAGGTAAGTACAATCACTAATAATTTATTTTATAATTTAAAAATAGTTAAAAGAGTATAATTGTATTGTTTGTAGCACAAAGAAAGGATAAACTTTTGAGGACATCAATACTCCATTTACCCTGATGTGATTACCATGCATTGTATGCTTGTATCAAAATATGTACCCCATGAATACATATACCTACTTTATACCCACAAACATTAAAAATTACAAAAATCAAATGAGAACCAAAAATATACATATTCTGTTCTTCAGATATTCCCTTAAAGAAAGTAAAAAGGTGAGCTATGCATTGCAAGAAGATAGGTGCAATGAATTTATATGTGACAAAGAAAGAATGTGTATGTGTGAACACACACACAGTCTTATTCTCTCACATATTACTTAATGATTATCAGGTATGTTGTTTGATATCTAAGCTATTGAAACTCCCCTCCTATATAATCTATAAGTCTTGTAGTTTAGCCTCTCCTAGAACAGATGAGGTAACAAGTAAAAGTAAGCTTTTGTAAACCACATAAATAAAGCGTTTCCTACCTTTGAGGAGTTCCAGAAAACTGTAAAAGTGATCCAGGAGGCTAATATAAACAACAGTGCCAATAGCAGCTTATAATTTATTATACTTATTTTCATGATTAGGATCCTACAAGAGACAAGAGACAATTAGGATCCTACAAGAGACAAGCACAAAAACATACAACAAAACAGAACAGAAAAGCAAGAAAACATGGAAAACATTTGAAATTTTTTTGGCTCATGATTACTTTTTAGCCTCAGATAAATAACTCCCAGAAGTAAGGCTTCAGCCTCCCAGTTGTACTTGGTATCTCCGAGGTGCTCTCTTTTAGCTATCAGTTTATACGTTCTACAGAAGAGATATTCCATGGAGCCCACTGTAAACTCTAAGAAACTGAGCAGCTAAGAGCCTGAAGGATGCAGCTTGCTCATGTCTAGGTGAATTCTCCAGACTGTTTGTCACCTAATGATCAGGTTCCCTGTTCTCTTCCCTTAAACTTAAGGGAAGACACGAAATATTCCAGCAAATATTGGCACTGAGAACCACATCATCACAGTGCCTGTTGAATGTAAATTCGTTTTTCTGTTTCCTTAATGCCGATCTGTTAATATGTTTTCCATTTTAGCAGGCTTTCTAGCACCCTTCAAGCTTGAAAAGAATTATTTAAAAACTCATACTTCTTACTTTTAAAAAATTTCAGGCTTTATCAATGTTTCTGTATGATTCATCTTAACATCTGTCTTTGCACTGAAATTCCAAGTTTCTTTTAACGTGGATCTTTTAACATCAGATTGCTTGAATGCTGCCCTTCTAAAAATTTCAATCCCTCAAAATTTACCCACCCCTAGAAGCACCTTTCGCTCCAGATTGCCAGTTTATACATGGGCATTCGATGTTTCTGCACCCAAAAATAAATTTTACACTTTTCCCTCGCCTTCCCAATTTTGTAAATATTTTCATACCTTTAGTTTACAGATTGTTCAATCCCACACATAAAATCTCTGGTAAGTTAGGTGTTAAGGATTTCTTCTGAAGCCACTGGTGTGATACTGGTATACCTCTCCTCTGTACCAACATAAATTGCAGATATAAGTTGAAGCCTGTTGACCTTTAGCATGGATTTACAAGCTTCTGCTTGTTTCGGTTAACACAGACGTTTCAGGCATGTCAGCTCCACCTTAAGGAGGAGCCTGGATTATAAACTATAGTTATTAATTCAAGCAGAGGTAGGAAGGAGAAATGAAGTGCTCTGCATAGTAAGTTATATGATTTCAGAATCCTGAAGCTTTTTGAGTCTAATTCTAGTAAGTTACAATAAATAACTGATGAGAAAAAGAGTAAATGAAGCCAGAATTTCGAATGATTGAAAGTAGATAAGCATCAACGGAAAGTCAAACTTTCTAGTTTTCATCTGAGCCTTTTCATCAAGACCAGTTCAAGTGCATATTATATCATTCATAGTATGTTTCAATACAACTTGCTGAGTTGAACCAAAAAACCCTAAAATATAACATAGGGAAGACAATAATATTAATTGCATCTGAGACTCACAGAATGACAGCTTCTAGTCATGGGTTTGAACCCATCCGGGATTTGTATTCTTGATAAAAACAGTGCTGGAAAGAGCAGGCACCCAGACAGCTGTACCAGTGCCCACAGGAAGGAGTAGCTGCTTGCCCTGTTGCTCCCTCCATAAGTTCATTTCTGCTGCCCCAGAATCTTCTTATGAGGTAGGCATAATGGATGTACTTGGCTTAAAGAACCAAGAGCACTGAAGAAAGTTCAAATGATTTGTGCAGGTCATCTGATGAACTTTGAAAAAGGGCTGAATCCAAGATTCCCATCCTTTTGATCTCTAACACTGTGTGTTTATAGTGTATATGTATAACAACAAAATCACAAAGGATAAAAAGTAGGAAGTTGGAAAAACTATCTTGAAGTCTTTACACCATGTGTGACGTGGGATAATATTATTTGAAGGCAGACTCTGATTAAACTTTAAAAAATTGTAACCCTAGTATAACCACTGAATATTTCTTTTAAAAAGTGGTACACATAATAAATCAACAATGAAGATTAAATGAAATAAAAAATATTTGATTAGCCCAATAGAAGGAAAAAAAATAAATGGAACATAGAAAACTTCTTCCAATATATCCTTAAATTCAAATATATGAACGGTGATCTGATATCTGAATGATATAAACCAGGGATGGACAAACTTTTTCTATAAAAAAACAGATAGAAAATATTTTAGGAGAAAGAAATTATAAACAAGAAAATGTAATGGGTATATTAAAATTAACTTTGTGTTATTTAGTTGGAATTAGAATTATCAGTATGCATTCAGAGTTTTTTGATGGATAAATATGCATTCGTATGTATACATGGGTTCATGCACACAGTCATATATTTTCAAGCTCTGTCCATGAAGAAGCCCTAAAAGTAATGACTCCTAGTGCCTAGGCCTTAGTTTCTTAATTCTCCAATAAAGTGGGCCAGAATTTCTTGGAGAAGTGGCTCGTTGATTCCATCCCTTTGTCAGGGGATATGGGATGAACCTGGAGTATCTTGTGGTGCTAGGAAATGCCTTTTAAGAAATAGAGGAACATGTCAGAATAGTCCAGAAGCCAACCTGAAAGAGCACCAAAGTTGCAACAATTTGAGCCACAAAATAAATTACAATTGTTTTGGAATATGTACTAATCTACTCTCGCATTTCAAAATACAATCATTGTTCTCACATTTCAAAATACAATCATACCTTCCCAACAGTCCCTCAAAATATTAGTGAATTTCAGCATTAACTCAACAGTCCAAAGTCCAAAGTCTCATTTGAGACAAGGCAAGTCCCTTCCACCTATGAGCCTGTAAAATCAAAATCAAGTTCTGGAAACTACCATTCTCAGCAAACTGACACAAGAACAGAAAACCAAACACTGTGTGTTCTCACTCATAGGTGGGTGTTGAACAATGAGAACATATGGACACAGGGAGGGGAATATCACACACTGGGGTCTGTTAGGGGGTGGGGGGTGGGGGCTAGGGGAGGAATAGCGAGGGGTAGGGAGGTTGGGGAGTGGTAACATTGGGAGAAATGCCTGATGTAGGTGACCAGAGGTAGGGATGGAGGCAGCAAACAACCATGGCATGTACGTACCTATGCAGCAGTCCTGCAAGATCTGCACGTGTACCCCAGAACTTAAAGTATATATATAAAAAAATCAAAATCAAGTTAATTACTTCCAAGATACAATGGATCTATAGGTGTTGGGTAAATATTCACATTCTAAAAGGGAGAAATTGGCAGAAAGAAAGGGTCTACAGACTTCATGGAAGTTCAGAACCCAGAAGAGCAGCCATTAAACCTCAAAGCTCCCAAATTATCTCCTTTGACTCCATGTCTCACATCCAGGGCACACTAATGCAAGGGGTGGGCTCCAAAGGACTTGGGCAGCTCTGCTTCTGTGGTTTTGCAGGGTTCAGTCCCTGCAGCTGCTCTCAAGGGCTGACGCTGAGTGCCTTTGGTTTTTTCAGGTGATGAGTGAAAGCTGCCAGTGGATTTACCATCCTGGGGTCTAGAGGATGGTGGTCTTTTTCTCACAGTGCCAAGTGGGAACTCTTCCAGAACTTATCAAGAAGGAATATAGAGTTGAAAGAATATGAAAGGCAAGTTAAAAAATATGGAGCAAAGAAATAATAATGTCAATATCTATATTTAATAAAAATCTCAGAAAGGTAGGATAAAAAAACCAATGAAAAGTAGAGAGTCAATATCTTATTTTCAAGTGCACATGAAAACCAAAAATAGACCACATACTGAGTCACAAAGGAAATCTCAACAACTTTCAAATTCATCATTTAAATGTAAATTGCAATGAAATTGCAAAATATTTGACAATGAATAACAATGAAAGTACTTTATATCAAACATTAGGGAATGCCACCAAATTATACTGAAAGGGAAATATATAACTGTACCTGAAGCTATTAAATAGCAATGAAAATTAGACTAAATGAGCTAGGTGTCCAAGTCAAGAATAGAAAGAGAATAGCACAGTAAATCTGGAAAAAGTGGAAGTCAGGAAATCACAAATAGAAAAGATACTAATAGGAGGTAAAGCAGAAACAATAGAGATGATCAACAGAATAAAAAGCTAACACAGAGCAAAACTGAAAGTGAGCAACTTTCCAGTAAATTTGATCATGGGGGAAAAATAATTAATTTGGGGAATAAAAATCGGTGTATCACATCTGACACCAGGAAGATTTTTTAAAGATTTTTTTGGGAATAAAAAAGGGTACACATCTGACAATTGGTGTTCTCATGAGAGAACACTAGAATAACTTTATGCCAACACATTTGCAAAGTTTGACACAGAGGACATATTTTTGTGGTATATAACAACACAATTGATGAGAAAAGAAAATTTAAAAACCCAAATAAAAAAGTAATTACTCCTGGCATAGTTACTTCATTCCAAAGACTACAGCATAGAAAAGGAGAAAGAGTAACTTCCAAAGTGGGAGAGCCTGGCAAACACTACCTCAGCTAGAAGATCAAGGTCAACATCAGCAGTGAAAATTATAGTAATATATATCCTTGATATGATGTGATGACAATGGCACTTTACTTCTGTGGTCCTCCTCCCCGAAACCCATAAACCCAGTCTAACAATGAGAAAAACACCAGACAATTCCCAGTTGAAGGATACTGTTTTTAAAATACCTGACCACTACTCCTCAAAACTAAGTCATCAAAAATGATGAAAGTCTGAGAAACTGTTAGAACCAAAAGAGCATAAGAAGACATGACTACTAAAAATAATATTGGATCTTGGAACAGAAAAGGAACATTAGGTAAAAAAACTATGGAAATCTCAATAAAGTATATTAAAGGTAATATTGGCTCATTCATTGGAACAGTGTGCCATAGTATATATGTTACCAAAGTAATATATATGACATATATACATTGATATCATAGTATAAATGTAGCATAGTAATATAATGTGAATAACAGAAGAGTGCAGGGTATATGGCAGCTCTTTGTCAGTCACTACATCTGGTTAAAATTTAATTGTTAAAGAATGTGAATTCATATTTTTTTATTTCAAAATCATTTATGCAACTTAAGTAATGTAGGTTAAAAATAGAGTGAAATTTGCACTCTATTTTTTTTATTAAAAAATGTTTTCAATCTGTACCCTGAGGGTGCACATTTCATTCTGTCTGTCTAGCCATCATGGTTAGATTAGGTTTATCCCAGGAAGAAAATTATGGATATCCATTTTATTGTAACATGTGGGGAACCACATGGAACTCCAGAGCTATAAAGATTATTTAAAAAGAAGACATTTGAGATTCAACAGATGCAAAAAGATACTTTTTTTGGTATAATATTATGAGAATATCTGCTTTCAATTCTCTTCAATATAACCACTGGTTAAATTTCTGTCTCACATGATATTTTTTATTAGTATTATACTTTAAGTTCTGGGATACATATGCAGACCCTGCAGGTTTGTTACATCAGTATAACCTGCCATGGTGGTTTGCTGTACCCACCAACTCATCATCTACATTAGGTATTTCTCCTAATGCTATCCCTCCCCTAGTCCCCGACCTTCCTAAGGGCCCTGGAATATCATGTTCCCCTCCCTGTGTCTATGTATTCTTATTGTTCAACTCCCACTTATGAGTGAGAACATGCGGCGTTTGGTTTTCTGTTCCTGTGTTAGTTTGCTGAGAATGATGGTTTCCAGCTTCATCCACATCCCTGAAAAGGACATTAAATCATCCCTTTTTATGGCTGCATAGTATTCCATGATGTATATGTGCCACAGTTTCTTTATCCAGTCTATCATTGATAGGCATTTGGGTTGGTTCTAAGTTTTTGGATTGCAAACAGTGCTACAATAAACATACATGTGCATGTGTTTTTATAGTAGAATGATTTATAATCCTATGGGTTATGCAGTAATGGGCTTGCTGGGTCAAATGGTATTTCTGGTTCTAGATCCTTGGGGAATCACCACATTGTCTTCCACAATAGTTGAACTAATTTACACTCCCACCAACAGTGTAAAAGTGTTCCTATTTCTCCTCATCCTCTCCAGCATCTGTTGTTTTCTGATTTTTTAATGATTGCCATTCTAACTGGCAGGAGATGGTATCTCATTGTGGTTTTGATTTACATTTCTGTAATAATCAGTGATGATGAGCTTTGTTTCATATGTTTGTTGGCCTCATATATGTCTTCTTTTGAGAAGTATCTGT